AACATATTTTCCCAGAATGGTTGTATGTACTCCTAAACCAAACTGCAGTAACACAACAGCGCAAGTGCAGGCAATCTCCAGCATTAGAGACAGGGACTTTTTCTGGTGAATCCCCTCAGAATCCCCTCCAGACTTCCAGTGTGGTGGTGAAAATCAGAGATGGGATTCTGGCATATCTTGTCAAATACATTTTGTATAATTGAAAACAGAAACTTTTCATTCCCAGCTGTACAAATGGGGGACAAATAGGCCTGCCCATGCATATGGGTGTCCATACCCACTTTGCCTCATTGCTGTACCCACTCTAGTCCCTGGTGAATAAACCCACCATGTTTCTTCAATGATCCCGCTGTTAAACGAATAAGGAACTGAACAATGTGTAAAGTTGGAAAGGTACATGGGGAGAGTTCTGATGAATTCAGGCTACCCAATATCCAGCCAGCTGAGAAGATGGTGGATGGGGCATCATTGAAACATGTCAACATTCAAGTGTTGGGCACCATAACACATTTTCCTTATTTATTTATTTATTTATTTATTTATTTATTTATTTATTTATTTATATTGTTAAATGCAATAAAAAGGATAAGGTATAAAGAATCAAAGTAAAAAGAAGAAAAACAAAAGAAGAAAATATTTATTTATATATTTATATATCAAATCTGTCACCGTCCGTGTCATTGAAATGACTCTGGGCGGTTTACAAAATAGTTAAAATCAATTAAAATTACAATATAATGGAAAATAAATAGATCCAAGGATAGATGTTAAAATTGGCAGTCACTTGGGGAGCGTCATCAAGGTGCCAGCCACCCCCAGGATTGGGCAAGATTGTTGTCACCCCACGCAAGCTGGCAGAGCCAGGTCTTTAATCCTTTCCGGAAAGCCGGTAGGGTAGGGATCCTGCCGCATCTCTAGTGGGAGAATATTCCAGAGGGCGGGGGCAATGGCAGAGAAGGCTCTCCTCCTGGGCCCTGCCAGGTGAAATTCTCTTGCTGACGGGGTCCACAACATGCCCTCTCTGCCTGACCGGGTGGGACGGGTTGACGTGAGACGGTACCTCAGGTAACCTGAACCCATGCTATGTAGGGCTTTAAAGGTAATAACCAACACTCTGAATTGGACCCAGAAGCAGATTGGGATCCAATGCTGCTCCCGCAGCAAAGGTGTTATATGTGCCATTCTTGGGGCACCCAAGATTGTCTGCTCAGCCACATTTTGAACCAGCTGTAGCTTCCGGATACTCTTCATGGGTAGCCCCATGTAGAGTGCATTGCAATAGTCTAGCCAAGAGATGATCAGGGCGTGAGTGTCTGACCGGAGAGGCTCCTGATCCAGGAAAGGGCATAACTGGTGTACCACACAAAGGTGGGCAAAGGCCCTCCTGGCCACAACTGCCACCTGCTCGAGCAGGAGTCGTGAGTCCAGGAGGACCCCCAGATTACGCACCGGGTCTGTCTGGAGCAGTGCAACACCATCCAGAACCAGGAATAGTCAGTCCTCGAATACAGAGAGGCCTCCAATCCACAGCCACTCCGTCTTACCAGGGTTCAGCTGAAGACTGTTGCACCCCATCCACATCCTCACAGCCTCCAGACACTGCAGAAGGGCAGTCACAGCATCACTCACCTCGCCCAGGATGGGGGTGTATAACTGGGTATCATCTACATATTGATGATGCCTCATCCCATGGTTGCAGATGATCTCGCCCAGTGGTTTCATGTAGATGTTAAAAAGGAGTGGAGAGAGTGCTGAACCCTACGGCACCCCACAGAGGCAGGGCCTCAGGCATGGACCTCTCGCTCCCAGTCAACACCAATTGGGATCGACCTTGGAGGAAGGAAGAGAACTAGCACAAAACTGTGCCATCCACTCCCAACTCCCTAAGTCGACCCAAAAGGATACCATGGCCAATGGCATTGAAAGCCGCTGAGAGGTCATGAAGAGCAAGGATGGATGCATTACCCTCATCCTGCTCCCACCAGACAGCATCCATGAGCGTGACCAATGCCATTTCCATCCTGTATCCAGGCCTGAAACCTGACTGAAAAACGTCCAGATAATCCGTTTGCTCCAGGATCCTCTGGAGCTGCAACGCTACCACCTTCTCAACCACCTTCCCTAAAAAGGGGAGATGGCAGACTGGATAAAAGTGCACCAGCTCCTCTTTAAAGGCAGCTGGAAACACTCCCTCCCTCAAGGATGAATTCACCGTTGCCTGGACCCACCCACGTATCACCTCCCAAGTAGCTTGACTAGCCAGGAGGGACATGGTTATATTTTACAGGTGGTGGCATTGACCATCCGGAGGACCCTGTCCACTTCCTTGGGTTCAACAGGATCAAACTGTTCCCAGATGTACGGTGCATCACACTTGGCATCCAACTGGAACTGGATCCAAGCAATTTTATCCTCCAGATGCCTAGAAAACTCCTCTGCACGTCCCTGTAATTGGGGCACTTAGGTCCCCTTTCCCCAAAGGGATCGGGTGATCTGAAACAGGGCCACTGAATGGCATTCTGTGGATGCAATAGGAGCAGAGAAATACTGATGTTTCACATCTCTTACTGCCACAAGGAAGGCCTTAATAGCAGCTGTAGCTTGTGTTTGGTCAGGTTTGGTCCTTGTTTTCCTCCAGCAGCACTCTAGATGTCTCTTAACCCTTTTCAAAACTCTCAACTCCTCTGTAAACCACGGGGAGTGTCGGGTTCGATGGGTCAAGAGAGGTTGCCCAGGTGCACTACCTATTCCAGGTAGTAGCCAAGGCCTCTGCTGGACTGTGCAGCAGACTCTCGGGTATAACCTCCAGCTCCCGTTCAAACCCAACTGGGTCCATCAGTCACCAGGAGTGGACCGATTAAATGGGTCCTGCCTTCCTGCGGGGGGTAGCGTAGGAGAATCTCAAGGCCACCAGGACATGATCTGACCATGAGAAGGGGGGCAGATGTAATTCCTCCTTCAGATCACATTGCCACTACTCTGACAAGAAAACCAAGCCGGTGTGAGACCACTGTCCCAAGTCGGATCATGGGTAATCTGGGACAGGTCCATAGTTACCATGGTAACCATGAATTCCCACACTGCCTCTCAGGCATGCCCTAGGGATGGCAGATTGAAGTCCCCCAAGACCATAAGTCTGGGGAACTCCACCGCCAGCCCTGCAATGGCCTCTAACAGCTCAGACAGGGAAATATCTACACAGCAGAGTGGCTGGTACAGTAACAACAATCCCAACTATGATCATGAGCCCAACTTCAGGAACAGGGTCTCACAATCGGCCACTTGCGGAGAAGCACCCCTGAAGGCCAACAGAGATTCTCTGATGACAACCGCTACCCCTCCTCCCCTGCCCTGGGGTCTTGGCTGATGCCAAACTGTGAACCCAGCTGGGCATATTTCTGAAAGGGGCACTCCCCCTTCAGGGCCCAGCCTGGTCTCAGTGGTACAGTGAGTATCCTCCAATCCCCTGAAACTAAACTTCCCTTCTGAAAGATGCTCCTCTTTTTTATTCTATTTATTTTACCTTAAACATAAACATCGTATTCTCCCCGCGTCAGAATTTCATGAAAAAACAAAAACTCTTCTCCTTTGGAGGAACACAAAGAAAAATAAAAATTAAAATTAAAAATCCATCAGAATGTAAAGGGGACAAGAAAAATAGTTGACGCTTTGGCGTGGCTTTAAATGAAAGTATACTTTCTGGTACAAAGGCATGTTCACTTTTTGCTGCATTTCTTTCCCTTCTGTAAGGTTTGTAGACCTGAATCTTAAGGAATTCAATACCCAGAATTCAGGCGGAGGCTCTTAAAAAGAAAACAGCTCTTTAATCGGCCGAGTGAAGCAGCTGGGTGGGCAGCAATCCCAAAAAGTGCTGGGAAGCTCCACACCAACAAGATTTCAAAGGCAGTTTTTATAGCATTGCAAAGACAATAGATTGCAACGAATAAGGCCGCTTAAGGCAGTTTGAACCAGTGTCCCCGTTACCCTCAAGACCTTTTTCCTGTGCCCCCCCTCAAGGTCTTCTGTGTACATGTCCTTCTCGCTTCAAGATAATAGTTTCTTCCTAGCGCAAGCAAAAAATACAAAGGCGAGATAGCAAGAGCCAGGCTAAGAAAATCCCCCCCACCTCCCCTTCACTTCCAAGCTCCTCTGGGGAGTTTCATCAGCAATCATGTCTCTAGTCAAGTGGGTATCATG